GCAAGGAAGAATTGTAACTGCATGGGGTGAGGTTCCAGACAGGGTGCAGGGAGGGGGACCTGCCTGGGCATCCAGGCCTGCCCAGTGAGTATTTGCTTGGCTGGCAGCTAGGGATGATGGTGCAAAGCCTGTTTGGATGCTGCCTTCAGCCCTTGGCTCCCAACTTGGAGTCCAGTGACCTGAGTAGAGGCAGTGTCCCAGAGTAGAGGACTAGCTTATGCGGTGCACACAGATTAGAAGACAGTTGTGTGCTTTCTTACCTAGAGGGAAGACTCCTCCTTAGCAGCAGGAGGACAGCAAACAGCTCAAGCCACGTGACCTGGTGTGACCGGTAGTCCCTGGTCGTGAATGTTGCTAAGCTCTCTGCTCTGTCCCCTGGACAGCTGGTTTCATTAGGCCCAACTCCTGGCTGGCCTGTGCCTTCTTGCAAAGGCTAGGTGTTAGTACTGTCACTGGGTTTATTGTTGCCTTACCCTTGGGTTCAGAGGAGGAAATCCCAGCTGGCTGTGCCTGGCGGCTCTGCGCTGGGGTCTTGCTGCTGCTGGAGCACCTGGATGCTACCAGAAATGGGATGCTGGGCTCAGTGGGCTGTCGATCTGTCCTGGCTCGGGTAGTCCTGGGGACTGGGACTTCCTGGCTCCTCGCGGTCCCTTGAAAGTCCAGCCCATGGCCCTTCTGAAATGCTTGGATTGCCGAGCCCCCAGGCTGGCTGCTCTGTGGAGGCAGGCTCTTCGTGTGCACTGCAGGGGGCGGGGCGGATGGTGCCATCATGCAACCGCCAGTTCATACTGGTGTTTCAGGGCACCACCCTCCACTGGGAGTACTGGTCTGTGATCCCTCCTAGAGCCCAGGATGCAGCGATGAGTAGGAGAATTGGGTGCCAGTGGTACTGCAAAAGCATTTGACTGCTGTGAAGTCTCCAGTACCTCTGGGGAGCTGAGACTGGCTCTTCTGCCTCTGGGCTAGGCTTGTGGACCCTTGGCCTGTTATCTTGCACAGTAATCCGCCGAACTGGGCACTGCTTTGCGAGTCCCTAGTGACCCAGTCCCCTGGGGTTGTGGTTGTGGGGCAGTGCTGGTTCAGCACGTGAGGGATTGGGGTTCAGCCCCATGACCGCAGAGGGCCTCGTGGCGCCGAGCACTGTTGTGCTGGTCTCTGCAGGCTGGCCCCGGGGGATCCGTGCTCACGTTGTGTGTGGTGGGCAGCGCTCTGAGTGTCTCGTGTGGAGCTCAGCATGTCACGTGAGCCAGCACCGAGAACGGGGCCAGGTGTTGGGTTCTGGAAAGCACTGAGACGGTGGCATAGGCAGCCTGAGCTGCTGCATGCGTGACTGCCACAGGGACAGTAACCACCACCCGCCTGGGGTAGAAATGCCACTGCAGGCATGACAGATGTTAGAAAAGGTTGGGAAGACATGGCTGATGGGCAGAAGAAGGGGCACTAGGCAGTGTGGAGCTTTCCGGGGCTGCTGGAAGGCATGTCCCAGCTTGAGGAAGGGCGTCAGTAAGGCAGTAAAACATGTGCTGAAGGGTTCAGCCAGAAGGGGACTCTGCTTCTGCACTCGGATGTTTAATGACTCCGAGGGGCCTCTGCTGCCTGCTCCTGTCCGCGCTGGTGTTCAGAGCCTGGGACTCTGCCCACAGCAATGGGGCTTTTCTCTCTAACAAAATGTGCTAAAAGGACCACATCTGACTTCTGTAAACCATCTGCAGCCAAACACCCTGCTGGCTTGGAGCGCTGCTTAGCTTGAGGACCTTCAAGACCTCGCTGAGATCGCGAGGACCTTGCAACTGCAAAGTGCTGGTCTTTCCTGTGGCTGCCTCCTGTCCGTGAAGTGCCGTGAAGGAGCTGAGGGAGATGCATGCTTGCTTGTTTGTCACAGCGTGGTCTGGTCCGACAAGCTGCATCTCAGTTTCCATTTGAGATGTGGCTGGGGCACATGAGTACCTGGGTGCGTTGAGCTGCACTAAAGATATATCCAAGGTGACAGAATAGCAGAATAAAGGGGTGGAATGAGTACCTGCCCGTCTGAGAACAAGGCCATTGGGCTTTGGAAAGAACGGGTATTGAGTAGGCAGCCAAGAAGAGGCACTGGGGGACTCTAGGATGTGAGAAACCAAGTTAGTGTAGTTGCAAAGTCTCTTTTTCTCTCAGGAGAACTTAGCAATCTTTGCCTTTGCTTTGTGGTTTTCCTTGCAGGAAGTGCCCTATATGCCCTTGCAGTACCTCCTGTGCCATGTGAAGGACCAGTCAGTGGGTCTTTCTGCCCAGCGCCAGTTCATCCTTTGCGTAGGAAAGGCGTCCCAGGTGCTTTTCAGCATTAGCAATGACATGCAAGGGGTTTCCTACTGTCCCCA